CCCACATAATCATATGGGTTAATTCTTAATCGTTATATAAAAAATCGCCCCTAGTAGACTAAAATAGAACTATGTTTTGTCATATAAAGTTACTCGATGGCGACGCCAATGCGATAGAAAACTCATGCTTAGTGGTTAGGTGCACAAAAACTGTTATTAATCTTTATTTCTTTTAAAAATTACTAATAATGATTTAATGCTATTAGGTACTTCAACTGAGCTTATAATATTTGTTGTTTTAGGAGCAGTTCATGACAATAATCAAATGGCGGATTCTAATCTAGTATTTTTAGTTTCGCCGTTCATATCCTTAACCGTTATTATACTGTATAGTTGGAGAAAAATTACCATGAATTATAAATTTAAAAAAAAAAACCAACAATCTCAACAAAAATATATTTTAATAAATATACATTAAGGCCGAATACGAAGAGAACTGGCGAAAATTAATGTATTTCTCTTGACTAGAACTTTTTTTACTTGACCTGAAGTAATTCTAAGCTTTAAAACATTTTTGTAGGTTTGTTCGGGTCCTTCACAAGGTCACCGTCATTTTAAAATAAATGAATTTACCAACAAATAAAAAAATGTTAAGAAATGATATATAAAATTATTGTTCTTCCAAAACTCTGTGAATTTTAATTTAGGAAAAATTCTTTTACGTAAAAATGTTTGTATTGTGATTCCGAAGGTACCTGCTATCTTTATTCTCGATACAAAATATTATTTATTAACATAATTCGTTTTAATTAAAAACACCTAATAATAATATCGTATATTGCCAGATAAAAATTTGCCGTAATAAATTACCAGGCGCTTTATACGCGTTAATTTATTGTTTTATACGCGTTTAAGTGTCTATAAATGTAAATATGGGTAGGAAAAGAAATAAATGTTACCTAAGTGGTAAAACAAAGAGAGTTTATCGCATGAACGCTGCTCGAATGTTGTATTTTGAGTTTAATACTTATATTTTTGTAAGGTAATTTTTTGTTTGAGGCTACCTAATAGGTTGCATTTTTACTCATTTACATTAGCCAAACTGATCATTTATACTTTTCTAATTTCAAGTGAGAAACACTAAAAATGTAAAATATCAAGACCCAGTCGGAAAAGAATTTACAGAGTAGTGCAAGCACAGAGACCGCAAATAATGTCAGTCAATGTATTGTCCGAAAGCCATGGTCGGTACTATTAAAAGTACATAATTAAGAAAAACCGAAATACTTCGGATGTGAAGTGATCGACCAGTCGGAGTAGTCTTGTGAGAATTTACATACACAGTACCTATCCCCACTATGGGGCAATCACCGACTTTTTAGTTTTTTTTTCTTTATTATTTATGCAATTTGCATTACGGCATCTTGTAAGACTCACAAGAACAAACATTTTCAGTTATGTGAAGTAATTTACGTACGATGCACCAATTAAGAAAAAAAAATCGTTATCAATTCAATAACTTTTAGAACAATATTTTATAACGAATAAAGTACAGAATTTATAATCTATAGGAACTAATATTATAAATAAGAAAAAATTATTTAGGAAGTAAGCAATGCTCTCTGTGTTGTTCATTACTCTGCATCTGAGCTAGCTCCGTCAAATATAATCAAAGCCCGTACGGCTTTGATTATAGGTATTATACATGTCTATATAAACAAAGCGTAGGTACTGGCGGCGCGTGGTTTGCTGCGAAACGAGCAAGGTCATTCACGTCGTATTCAGCCTTAAACATAAAATATGACATAATTTTTAAAAACTTATTGTTGAGAAATATAAAAATAAAATACATTAACTACTGCGTTCAACCACGTTAGTTAATATTAACCTGCTGACATAGTAAAAACAGAATAATAGGATCCCTTCGGCACCGCGCGAGACTTAAATGACTACTGTTTCAGGGTTGTCAATGTCTTTTTGTTTAACAGCTGAGTCTCATTTAGTTTTATAAGTATTTATAGTATTTATAAACAATACATACGGATACGTACCCATGCATCATATTTGTAAATAATTTCTTTATTTTCCTCTCAAATAATCAATGTTTGTCAAAAAAAATCCAACTTTACATTACAACAAATACCAAATAACTAAAATTATATATAAAACCAAATAAATAAAAGAAAACGAGAGAACACAGCAGCTCCGATTTAATGTTTAAAATTAATTTGATCTGATGTGATAATTAATGTACTTATATTGTATAGATATAGTAATATAATCTATTAATAAGAGAAAATAAAACGAAAAAAGACTGCCAGCAAAATTTTATTAAAAGTCAACAAAGTCTCATACAAAGGTTATTGCGGGGCGCGGCGATGGGCGTCTCCGACTCGGCCCGATATTTCCGACTTAAGAAGTATTGTTGTGTGCGTACTGTGGCTCGCGCGTTCAAGTCCATACTGGCACGTGTCAGGTATGCACACATATTAACGGCGTTCAGTACATTTCTTAGAAGATAGCCTACTATTTTCTATTTACTATGCTGCTGATTGCATAGCTACGTAAGGGAATGACAGCGCTCCTTTCCTTTCCTTACAGCTCATTGAAACTCCACTGCTGAACATAGGCATACCATAAAGATAACTTCATAACGGAATTTTCGCCATAGTTGTCACGTTTGGCAGGCACATCGGCAACTTTTGTTTTTGATTGTTTCATTTTATAGTAGATTGCGAAGTATTTTTTTTCTCGAAATATGCCGTTGGCATTGCGGCCTTTACAGCTTCATCGAAGTAGACTCGTAAGCGAGGACTTACGAGCTATTGAATGCAACGATTCTGCCAGCTAAAGCTAGGAGCTGTGGCGAGGGGGGGGGGGGGGGACTTAATTTGTATCAAAGTCCCTCAAAAGTGGTATGGTTTTATGAGTCGCTGTAACCTATAGAACTATACATACACAATACGCAATGTACTACAAAGTAACTATTATTTTGATGTCAACGAAATTAGCGAATAGACCTGCTATTCGCATCATCTCGCGCCGCATTATATATACCGTGAATTTGGTTACATAGGAGTAGAACGCTTGCTTTCTTCAAAATAAGCGGGTCAATACTAAAACTAACACGCGGCTAAACGGATGCGCGGGAACCGTTAATGCGTATGATTTCTTCTTATTTATTAATGAATAAAATGAAAATTATTAATTATTCATTATTCATTTAGATTTAACATATTGTTTGAATAAGTAAGAAAATCACACCAGATAAAAAACTAGATTACACCTTCTTATTGAAAAGGTTAGTAATTAAACATTTATTTATTGCAGTAATACACAATTCCAAACCACCGTCTAAAAACAGAAATGTCATTACAACGTGGAAATAACACGAAGGCTTTTTATAGATAAGTATATATTAATATAACATCCAAAATGTAAATATTATTTAATTTAAGGAACATTATTAGTAAAGAGCTTTTTAATATTTAAAGAGTAAAGTTACATCCTACACACGTCCCGCAGCTAGGTACAGGCCTACTCTCAATTCTGAGAGGGTTAAAAGACAGCTTTCTTATGAATACAATTTGCCGATTACCGAATTGAAACCTCGCAAGCTAGCATTATTGCCTGACAATACTTAAAAACATAATGTGATTTACTAAATATCCGTACAGTGGTGTAACTATCAGCTTGAGCATATTTATCGCGAACCTTCCAGAGTCCTGACACATGAGTAAAGAAACCGACTAGAGGCAAAGCTTCTAAGGAACGTGCAAAATTTTTACCTACTAAGGTAGGTTCAACACAGGAGGATGATACGAGTATTAAATAAAGTGTTTTTCAACTTTTTATTATGTAACTATGATAGATGTTTTTACAAACTACTTAATTTTATTTTTTATTTTTACTTTTTTTATATTTTCATACTTTTTGACTTTGTTGTGTCATTGTTTGTAATGGTAAATTTTGAATGTAATAAAAAATTTCTTTAATAGATAACCTAATAGAAAGTACTCACACGGCATACATAAACTTGCACATGTTTTAATGTTTCACTATCAATATTAACAATTATTATTTCGAAATAAAAATATTCGGGAAATTTTTGCTCAAGCAATTCAACAATTGCGTTAAACCTACGAGTATTTTCGTATATGAGATATCTATGACAGTAAAAATAATAATTTACAATCAAGTACTAATTACCTAGTGGAGTCTTTGTAATAATTAAAAAGTGATATATTTTTATTTACTTTATTTGCTTTGAGCAAATACATTTACAATATTATTGCTTAAACTATTAATAATTTTAGCAATAATAAGTATTACTATTATTACTTAAACAATTATCATTAACTATTACTAACTATTTCAACAAGTTCTATTGTTCATACATACAGAACAGTATAACATATTAATTTGCACTTTTTTCTATTACAACATAACATTTATTTCTATTGTTAAATCAAAACGTGAAACAAAAACTAACACGACGTGCGAAGTGTATATAGTTTCAGTATATTAGAAAGTACTCTGTGGTATATAGTATATATAGTGAATACCCTGAGCTTAAGCACTAGCCAATAGGCTTGGGTAAAAAAAATCGATATATCAAAATATCGATTTTTCCAGAAAATAATCGATATAATATAGGCCATTTTTTTTTCGATATATCGATTTTTGATATTTATTTTCGGATATCAAAAACTATATGATTTCGCATCGAATTTTCGTGATATATATATTTTTGCCTCCAACACATAAATAAAAAACTATCTATAGTCTATGACCCGTTTGTTTGTTGTCTGCGCAGTGGAGCCCACTATGGCAACAATAGGGCACTGACTGACAGTCATCTGTCATCTAGTTGGTAAAGTGAGTAGGAGACTCCTACTAGGAGTAGGTACCTACTAGTAACTAGTTTAGTAAGTGTTACGTGCTGTTGTTATGTTAGTTAGTATTTGTGGTGATTGTTTTTTATTATCATGTCTTTTGTTTGGAAATTCTTTACAAAAAAAGGAAACAACAAACCTGTTTCATGCATTTTGTACGGAAAAATGTATAAAACATGTGGGAACGCGACAAATTTAGCTGCACACTTGAAAACCAAGCGTCACTATGCATACTTGCAGTTCGTCAACATGCAGCAGAAAAAATCATCTGAATCAAAAAATCTGATAATGAAAATGAAAACGCGTCGACAGGCGAAGACTCCAGTGGCGATGTACCCGTTGTAAGTCTTAAATAATCATAAAAATCATTAAAATTACTATAATTAGTCCACCGCGTGATTTAATAGGTTATGAACTGGTTTTGTTTTGCCAGGTTAATATACCAAGTACAAGTAATCAACAAATACAAGAAGATTCTTCCGAGATCAAATTCTTCAATCAAGCCGTAAAAAGGAGAAAGCAAGTAATACAACCCACTTTAGTAAACTATTTAGAGAGAAGTATAAGTTTTGAAGGTAAGTTAGGGATTGGGTATAGAAATCTGGTACTTGATTTTGTTTGTTTGAATATAACTAAAATCGATACCTATAGTAGGTAGGTGTTACGAATTCGTGTGTGTGTGTGTGTGTGTGTGTGTGTGTGTGTGTGTGTGTGTGTGTGTGTGTGTGTGTGTGCGCGCGTGTGTGCGCGCGTGCGTGCGTGCGTGCGTGCGCGTGCGCGGTACGACACACACATTCATTCATTTGATCTGACAAGCACGCAACTGTGACAACCGACAGGTAAAGTGTTACCAGATACAGACGAAATTAAATAGGGATGGGGTTGATTATCCGCGTCGATTAACTTAATGGTTTATGTTGAAATTTTCCCTAATTACTGAAAGTCTGATGTTTGTCCACACACTTACGTAAAAAGGAAATTCGATATTGGTGTTTATGAATCCTCAAAGTTTATTTTAGACATCAAATATTTAATCCTGTATTTGACTTTTGACTTTTCGAGTAAAAGTCAATTGTAATTTGTACTTACGACAGTTTTTATTTTTCAGAAGCTGGACAAAAACATAGTGAAGTGACACAGGCATTGATCTATATGATATGCAAGGACAATTTGCCACTATCAAGTGTAGAAAAAAACGGCTTGCAAAAATTTGTTCGCACAATTTGCCCTCTCTATAAACTGCCGTCCAGAAAAAAGGTAGTATGTTTATATTTAAAATGTAATTATATATTTTTCAATTAGAAATCATAGTGGGATAACCAACTTGTTAATTATTTTAGGTAACGCATTTAATACAAAACATATACAACACAACAAAGGAGGTCATTACAAAACTCTTAAATTAAACAATTTTCATGTTTCACAAGTGACTGAGTGTATACTTGGGGAGTGCTTTCAGCCGGGATGGAAGATGTGATTTAGATGTGGATAGGCGTGTCGCTGCCGGAAACAAAGTCAATGGTGCCCTGAATGCATTAGTAAAAAGGCAAGGCGTGGTGAAGAGTGCACGCCTTGCAATACATAACGCAGTGTTGGTACCGACTTTGTTATATGGCAGCGAAACCTCGGTATGCCAGAAGAAGCAAAAAAGCAAGTTGAATGCAGTGGAGATGCGATCTCTTCGTAAAATGTGTGGCGTTACCATAGCGAACCGAAAGCGAAACGAAGAGATTCGCAATATGGCAGGATTGAAAGATGACCTTATCACAAAAATTGATAGGGGCGTACTCCAATGGTTTGGGCACGTTGAACGAATGAGTGAAGACCGAATGGTGAAGAAAATATATAGAGCGAAAGTAAATATTAAAAGGTGTCGAGGTAGACCGAGACTAACTTTCGAAGACCATGTGAGCAAATTGCTCGAAGAGGGGAGGGTCAAGAGTACTCGGATACCTAGACGTGCATGTATGAAGAAGTTAATGAACCTGAAAGAGGTATGTAAGGATCGTGACACTAGGCGATCTGTTCTCTCTCGCTACCCCGTTAGGGATTGTGCGTGAAGATAAGTGACAAGTGACATACTTACAATCACCAATTCAACGAGGAGTTTTTTTAGTATCGACGGTTTACTTTATTGACACCATAAATGGATCCGCTGCCCTTCAGAGCTTGAACCTATGTGCGCAGCAACTTGCTTGCAAAAAGTTGTTCGCATAATTTGGCCGCTCTATAAACTGCCGTCCAGAAAAAAGGTAGTATGTTTATATTTAAAATGTAATTATATATTTTACAATTAAAATTCATAGTGAGATAACCAACTTGTTAATTATTTTAGGTAACGCATTTAATACAAAACATATACAACACAGCAAAGGAAGTCATTATAAAAATCTTAAATGAAACAATTTTCATGTTTCACAAGTGACATACTCACAATCACCGATTCAACGAGGAGTTCTTTTAGTATCGACAGTTTACTTTATTGACACCATAAATGGATCCGCTGCCTTTCAGAGCTTGAACCTATGTGCGCAGCAACTTGCTTGCAAAAAGTTGTTCGCATAATTTGGCCTCTCCATAAACTGCCGTCCAGAAAAAAGGTAGTATGTTTATATTTAAAATGTAATTATATATTTTACAATTAAAATTCATAGTGAGATAACCAACTTGTTAATTATTTTAGGTAACGCATTTAATACAAAACATATACAACACAGCAAAGGAGGTCATTATAAAAATCTTAAATGAAACAATTTTCATGTTTCACAAGTGACATACTTACAATCACCGATTCAACGAGTTCTTTTAGTATCGACGGTTTACTTTATTGACACCATAAATGGATCCGCTGCCCTTCAGAACTTGAACCTATGTGCGCAGCAACTTTCTCAGGTACATTTGAAGTACATTATACAATATATAAGATCAACATAATATAGCTTGTCTCATATTTTTAGACTTCATTATTACTATTTATACAGCTTATTATAATATACTTATTTTTCAGGGTCACACGGGACAGTACATCCAAGAATGTTGGAAAATATGTGAAGAGTTCAAGATTGACAAAACTAAAATCGTGTCCATCACTACTGATGGCGGAGCAAATATAGTGTCAGCGGGACGATTATTTTTAGGTGATGATCACATGATTCCTTGCATTGCTCACTGCTTAAACGTTTCAGTTGATGGGGTACTCAGAGAAATTAACGTATTTTCAATACTTTGCGATTAGGTCGAAGCCAATGTGACATTTTTTAAGCAGTCAGTCAATGCTATGGATCAATTGAGAGCTGAACAAGAATCAACCGGAAAAAAAGAAGGCGAGGTGTTGACATTGATACAAGCTGTTAACACCATATGTAGTTCTTGTTTTGATATGTTAGAGAGATTCGTTAAACTGTCTGCATATGTAGCTAAAATACTTTCTTCTCAGTAGCTACAATTTTGGACCCTCGTTTCAAGCGTTTCCACTTTAATTCTCCAATTGCCGTATCAAATGCTATATGAAAAATAAGCGACGATATTCGCTCAGAATAGAGGCGTAGAGGACAACGTTCTCCAGATGTAAGGTCTGACTGAGCAACACCAGAAAAAGCTAACGAGTCATCAATCTGGTGCAGACATGAGCAGCTTTTAAATCTGAGAACAGCTACGCAAGAGGCCCCAAGCTTCGTATCTGTCCCCAATGAGCTTAAATAATATCTGGGCCAACCACTTCTTGAGAGGAAGTCAGATCCAATAAAGTTTTGGGTGAATTGCCGACATCTCACGCCGGTTATTTCGGATATCGCTCTTAAGTATTTAATATGTCAAGCTTCCTCGGTATCATCCGAAAGGTTTGGTTCGATTGTTAATTTAACAGTGCCGGATAATAGGCGCAGATTGATAGGTGATGACATTAAAAAAAGAGTGCTGCTGATGTCTATTTCAGATGAATACTGGTTTCAGTGATGGTTAATTTTAAACAATATAAATGAAGGATTTATAAATAAATAAAATAATAAATATATCAGATATCTATTTTCATTTTTTACTATCTAATTTTTGAGATTGGAAACTATATAGTTAACCTTCTCTTGAGCAAAAAATATCGATACATTTCAAAAGTATTGATACGATATATACCGATATATTTTTTCCATTTGCCCATCCCTATTAGCCAAGCCGATTTATACCGATTTCTCCCTGCACGTGACGAGCCAGCCGCCAGTGCTCAGGCACACACGCGCCTCGAACTTGTAGTAGTGTAGCTACCATGCGCAGTTGTATGAAGGTTTGTCTCTGTTTGATTTCTTTACTCGTGTGGTTCTGATAATGTCGCCCTATTTTAGGAGCAATAAAACGAATAAACAGCATAGTACCTTACTTGCGGTTTTTCATATTTTGCTTTAAAATCTAAATAGTTTCTAAATTTAAAAACTTTTTTTGTAGGAATAATTTCATTATTAAAAACGTTAATTTAAAAAAAAACACCTTTTATACAAGTTAACCCTGTGTGTTAAATTAGTCTAAAGTTATTTTAAATTCCATTAAATATAAATTAAGAGAAATAACCATTCTTTACATTTATTTTTACTTCAACTCGACGATGGTCGGTGGGGTGGCGACGTACGGCCAGGTGGTTGAAAAAACAGAGGCAACTGGTTTTGTCACACTTGTTCAATCATCGGAAATTGCTCAAGACTGTCTGATGGAGGAAGAGTTTCGGCATCAAAGAAGCTTGCGTGCATCGCAACTACTGTAACTGTTGCACCTGAAATTATAAAAATCGTCTTTTATAGAGGTGTTGTATGCTAGTTGGCTTGCCAAACATGAGGTTATGACAATTTTTCCCAACCTGGGAGAAGTATAACTAGCCTATACTTAGCTGATAATTAAATTTATTTCCATGGAAATGGCTTAATACACGTAATATTAAAAGATGCATGTAAGGAAATGATAAAACACCTAGTGAATTTATGGAAGAACTACATACGAGGGTGGATCGAAAAGTACTCGGCCTAACACAGATCCATTCAATTCTAAAAATCAAATCTACCCACATTATTTAGTTCAGTTCAGACCAGTTCATTGTGTGAAGTTCGAAACGTGTGCGATAATTAGTTGTGATTTTATAAATTTATTAACAAAGTAATCGGACATAATTTCCGCGAATGGAGCAAATCGAGCAGCGTGCCGTCATTAAGTACCTCCATAAGAAGGGGCCATATCATCAAAAGCCATCCATGATGACATGGTCAGTACATTAGGCGATTGTGCTCTGTCATATTCATCCGTCAAAAAATGGATAGCAGAATTTAAGCGTGGTAGAGAGAGTGTGAAAGATGAACCCCGCTCTGGAAGGCCTTCGACGTCAACTACTGACGAAAATATTAAAAAAGTACTCGATTTAATAATGGGAGACCGCAGATTAAAAATTAGAGAGATAGCCGAGATTATAGGCATCTCTTATGAACGAACTCAAAACATCATTGTCAACGAGTTGGGTTTCCACAAGGTGTCTGCGAGGTGGGTTCCGCGACTGCTTTCAGTTGAACAAAAAAGGACGCGATTGACTATTTCACGCGACTGTTTGGAGTTATTTGAAGCCGATGCAGATGATTTTTTGAATCGTTTTGTTACTATGGACGAAACATGGGTTCATTACTGTACACCGGAAACAAAACAACAATCAAAACAGTGGAGAAGACCTGGTTCAGCACCCCTAAAAAGGCTAAGTCGATTTTGTCGGCAAATAAGGTGATGGCTTCAGTATTCTGGGACTCGAAAGGTGTGATTATGATAGATTATCTTGAAAGGGGGTCAGACTATAAACTCTGATTACTACTGCACCTTACTACGTCGATTACGAGAGGAAATAAAAGAAAAACGTCGAGGAATGCTCAGAAAAAAAGTCCTGTTTCATCAAGATAACGCCCGTGTTCACACGTCAGTACAGTCAATGGCTGAAATTCACAACTGTTACTTTGAACTGTTACCGCATCCGCCGTATTCACCTGATCTGGCACCATCAGACTTCTTTCTGTTCCCTAACCTAAAAAAGCACTTGGGAGGTCAAAGATTTTCGACAAACGACGAGGTCAAAGCAGCTGTAGACGCATATTTTGACTCTAAGGAAGAATCATTTTTTTTCAACGGTCTAAATGCTTGGAAGGGGAGGTGGCAAAAGTGTATTGAACTTGATGGTGATTATGTAGAAAAATAAAAATATAACTGATTTAGTATGTGTTTATTTTCTTGGTTAGGCCGAGTACTTTTCAATCCACCCTCGTATATATGTAACATCTTAACAGTGGTAGAGCCACGCGGCAGCTTTGCTGTTGCACGTATGGGCCGGCGCAAACCGGGGTGGTACCACGACCTCACAGAATACCGGCGTAAGTGGAAGCTCTGTTTCCGCGTTTCGTCTGGTGAGTGCAGGTGGCCGGAGGCCCAAATCCCCCCCCCCCGCCATCAACATGGTAGCGGAATTAAATGATGATAGATTACCCCAGGAGGGTACCAGCACCCCTGGAGAATCCCTCGCTGAGCATCCACGACCATGTTTCTTCACTTCTGAGCGTGGGTGCTCAGGCTGCCCCGCGTATTCTGGGGGGGGGGGGGGGCAAAATTCCGCTCAAGACTACAACTGCTCGGGGCAAACGGAGCAACAAGACCAAGGCGACCCCTGCCACGCTGTCCGTGAATTTCTGCAATATCAGGGGACTTCACTCTAACCTAAACGCCGTCTACTACCATCTCGAGACGGCGAGGCCGGCTCTGCTCTTTCTGACCGAGACGCAGGTGTCCTCTCCGGCTGATGTCTCGTATCTCTTCTACCCGGGGTACAAACTGGAACACTACTTTGTGTCTCGGGCTGGAGTTTGCGTTTACGTCAGAGAGGACATCTGTTCTCGACGCCTCGGCAGACTTGAAGGTTCGGACCTGTCCAATCTTTTGCCACGCGTAGACAGCGACGACCATCCGCGCGTCTACGGGTGCTTCTATTGGAGACTCTTCGATCACGTCCAAATGGCTACAGATTCGTTGCTACAGCAGATTCCCTCCGCAGAGATCGTGATCCTCGGCGACTTTAACGCCCATCACGCCGAATGGCTTGGTTCACGTTTAACCGATCATGCGGGGAGATCTGTTCATGATTTTGCCTTGGCATATGGTCTGACACAACTGGTTACTTCGCTTACGCGAATTCCAGATGTGGAGGATCATGCACCTTCCCTGTCGGACCTTCTGCTGACCTCTCACCCGGACGGATATCAGATTTCCGTCGACGCCCCTTTAGGCTCCTCGTACCATTGTCTTGTCCGGAGTGTAGTGCCACTCACGCTGAAATCGCAGTTGCGTTCTGCAGGCTGCCGCCGTGTTTGACACTATAGGTCAGCCGATTGGGATGGGATGCGGTCTTTCTTTGCATCGTACCCTTGAGGGCGGGTTTGCTTCCCGCCGGACGATCCCAATGTTGTTGCGGATTCTGTCGCTGATGTGGTACTTCAGGGTATGGACCTTTTTATTCCTTCCTCTGTGGTACCCATTGGAGGCAAATCTCAGCCATGGTTTGGTCGCTCCTGTAAAATAGCATCATGCTATAAGCAGGAGTGCTACCAAGCCTGGGCTGACGCATCAGCGTCCCGGGATGTAAACACCAGCGCTCTAAAAAAGAAGTATAATTCCGCCTCTAGACCTTCAAAAGAGTCATTGCCAAGGCAAAGTCAGAGCACATAGGCAGAATTGGCGAGAAACTAGTTCGCCTTCCCCTTTTCCGGCTTTTCTTCTCCTCCTTCTCTCCTTTTCCTGGGGGGGCTGCGGAGCGGGGTCTCTTCCCCTCTCCTGACCACCGGGGCTTCCCCCCCGTTTTGTTGGGGGCGTTGTTCGTTTTTTTTCCTTTCGCGTTTCCGTTCCAAAAGGCGACGCTCGACCCGTCCTTCTTGTTCTCCAAAACAATGGAGTCCATTGTAAACTGCCAGCTCATGAGGTACCTTGAGGATCACCAGCTGATATGTTACCGCCAATACGGTTTTCGCCGTGGTCGGTCAGCTGGCGATCTTCTGGTCTACCTCACAGATGGACGGAGGCAGTAGAGTCCAAGGGGTAGGTATTGGCCGTTAGTTAGGACATTGCGAAGGCCTTCGATCGGGTTTGGCACAAAGCCCTTCTTTCGAAGCTCCCTTCCTATGGGCTTCCCGAGAAATTGTGCGTTTGGATCACCAGCTTTCTTGCAGATCGGAGCATCAA